TTACATGGGTACAGCCACACCAATACATGTGGACTCCCAGACCAGACAGCTGGCATTTTTTTTTTTACCACTGGTCAAACCCGAAAATGTATTTTGATTGCGGACAGTATTGAGCATGGGTACATGGAATAATGACATTTACTCTAAGATGGAAACCCCATTAGTGGTGGTCTATCAGGAAGAGGGCCCCCTTAAGTACCTAGTGCCTGACCTAAACATGTGCCAAATAATGAAAGAGGTTCATTGGCTCTGCCCAGGGGAACCATTCCTAATCAATACCGCAGAAATAATGTGCAGTCTGTCAACCCTAACCTCCAGGGAGACTTGCAAGTTCAAGCTAAGTAAGCCCAACGAAAGAACCGAAACAGTGGCCATGATAGCCGATGCTCAGTGGTTAGTAAGCACCCCTCTAGATACGGCAACCGTTTCCACCGATCAACACTCCGTAACCATGAAAGTTCCGATTCCAAGCCACATTGCCCAGGTCACAGTACCAAGAGGAACATTTGTACACATAGGGGACAAGGTATTATATAATTTAGACAAAAGCCTACATCAAGCAGAGGTATAAATAGTAAACACATTCCGAAACCACAAGTTTGAAATAAGCAGAAACTCTGTCTAACCTGTTGAAGAGTAAAGCATTTCATATGGTGAAATTAATCAGCGAGTCAGAGGTTAACGTAACAGATCTCACTTCGGCGACCGAAGAAGCCGGATATCAGCGGAATCAACGGGTGGGACTGGGAATCACAGGGGCAACAGGAATGATCATACTAGTCATAGCTATCCTAACCATAGCATACCATATGGCCAAAATGAATGCCGAACTTAAAAAAAACGAATCGCAGGGACAAGCCACATACCATTCGAGCCCAGGAACAGAGGTAGAGTCAAGGCCTGACGATTCCACCCAAGGGTAACCATAAAAAAAACATATTTTTTACGACATCTCCTATAACATGTAGTCAGGAAAAGAATTTCCCTTGTTTAACCTTCCTTTTTGTATTTCTTTTCTTATTTCAAATGTAATCATGCTAAGTTGTGACACGTATGCGCACGTTGTAAGGATAAATCAGCCAAAGCTGGAGGACAATTGATGATTAATGATGGAAAAGGGTATATATTTTTTATTTTGAAAATGACCTGTGGCCAATTGACCATCGATCATTTTTAAAAGGGCAGTGTTGTATATATGGCCCCTTTTCCATCTTAATATTAACAAGTAAATTTTCGATACATATAGATACATATTTTTTTTTTTACAATGATTAAAAACAACCCAACCCAGGCCATCAGAATGGCATGTGGAGGTCATGGACGGGCCATGGAATTAAATAAATAATTACTACCAGGGTCAGAGATCACAAACCAAGTGCTGAAGCAGGCAGACGAAAACCAGAACTGACTCCAAGGACACTCCCCCACCACAGCGAGACGAAATTAATGAGGAACTTGAGATGCACGGCATGTGTAGACCGGATAAAGGTGCAGCCCTGAAAAAGGGCGGGAGAGACCCCTTCGGGTATCTTTGCTAAAGCTGGCAGTTGCACAATAATGGGGCAGAGAGTGGGGGCCAGAGAGTGTGGGGCAGAGACTGAGAGAAACAGCGAGCAGGAATAAGGGCAAGTGGAGAAGAGATGCTTGGAATATCAGCGTGTCAGCGAAAACCCTAGCAAGTGTTTAAGTAAGATATAACAATACATTATTTCATCCATAACGTTCATGTTGGCGCTATTCACCCTGAACTATACTACGCTTACACAAAGATAAACTGCATGACTTGGGCGATGTTAAACCCAGGGCCGGAGAGGAAGGGAGATCCCGGCCGTCTTTGTCTCCCCGCAGCGCGGGGTAGGAATGTGTATACGCTCGGGGAAAATGAGTCAAACACCACAACGGGAAGCTAACACAGACCTTGGGTTCAATACAGAATCATAACTGTGGAGGTATGATTAAATGAAATGATAACTTAACACTTTTTAACCATTCCCTTGTGTGTCGGGGACATGATGCAGGGAGGGAAGCTTGCCCTCCCTCTCGTGCAGGCAAACAGAGCGGCAGACAGAGAGACGCCTTCGAGACAATTTGTAATGTCCGGTTGTTTTACTTTTTGATGGTTATTGGAAGGAGGAGGACAGCGTTATAGGCCGTGGATGACGCACACAAGGACACACACTGACACACGTATGGACACACACATACGGACAGATCCTGACACAGCAAAATCGGAAGGAGCTCCGCCTTGTGGGCAGGATCCAAGTGAAGGGATTTTTGGCATAAAGAGAGGACCCTGCAGCATTGATACCTCCGTTCGATCAGTTCAATCAGTTCGCTCGGAACTCGGCGGAGTTCGACCGGGGGTCGGCTCACGAGAGAGTTCGACCAGTTCGTCCGGAACTCAGCTGAGTTCGGTCGGCTCACTGGAGCCGGACCCTCGGGGCTCAGTTCGACCGGTGGGTCGGCTCAGGAGCAGTTCAAACCGGGAACGAGAGCAACAGGTCGCCAGCCGGCGAGCTGCAGAGCAGGGGGCGGCCAGCGGAGGCCAAAGGGGCCCCGTCACTACCCACTGACGATGGCGAGACTCGCAGGGTTGTGAGGCGCCACCGAGTGTGAGTTCAAAGAACTGAAAGACAGTATCGCTGAAAGTTATTCTACATTGAGTCCAGCTGCAGCGCGATTGACGCACCAAGCAAGAGCTTCAGCAGTGGAGAGAAACCTGCTGTCAGAGAACCAGCACGAGCGTGATCGCTCAGCTCATCCAGCATCGGAAAGAGCCCCGTGAACAAGCAACACCAGGAGGGAGCAGCGTGCCGGCGCAGCTCATTCCCCAGCGGCGTGAGAAACGCCGAGCGAGAAGGAACCTGCCTTCGTTCGTATGCCCCTCCCCCACCTTCACAAACCCGCTGCGCTTACGTTGTCTGCTCACACAAGAAGTTACCAAAAGAACAATCCTACGAACCTAACACTAAGACTAATAAATCATCAGCTGGCCACGAAGGCATCACCGCCCCTCAAATGATAACGATGCGTCGGTTATAAGTACATTAATTAAGTTTTTCTATTATTGAAAGTTTCTGATGGTACTTCTAATCGCATAAATTACCCATAGTTTCATCTATCCGAATTAATCATTGAGACCTTCGCCACGGGCTGCGCTCACAGGGAGAAATGATGTTAAACCGGCTTCCTTATCATCCAATCTTGTACATGAATTAATTAATCTCCCGTGAGAAGCACGTCCCATCGCATACCTTATTCCAAGCCATCTCATAATTATACAATATCGCTGATGAATCTATGAACGCATATTTGTGCCTTTAGGAATAATAATCGTATGAATACCGTCGCTTAATATTAAGGACTTTATTCATATTTTCTATACGTTCGTGTTACGCTGCATAATAATTAATTGCCCTGTTAACAACGTGATAAGGATTGCCTATGGATCAATGAATGAGCATCCGGGAGTACTATGTGGCCGATTTCAAATATAATAATTCATAATAGAATGTTAAAGTTTTTGTTTAGAATAGCTTGCACGCATGTTTTAATGACTCTCTCTCTCTCTCTTCCTAACAACAATTGCGTTATTTGGGATCCATGTGCCGTTGTCAAAGTTAAATCGTACAGTCGTTGATGATACTGTATCGATACCGTGTTGAAGTTCCGAGATTGAGAGTTCACATACTATATTATAGTTAAGGTTTAATTAGAAATAAATTGATTAATACAGAAGTGGTCGTGTGATTATTTCCTAAAATTGTTGCCTAAGATCTGTATCCTGCGATGAGATATGAACCTGGGAACAACACATAAACACACTAATCCATACCTAGTAAACGTTAAAGCGAAAATCATTGTATTATACTGATCGATATTACGAGAGGAGAAAACGAGACCGTTTTTGACACTAGCATAAATGCATACAATTGATTGCATTATCCCAATTGATAACACCACCTCGTCAACGAGTCGGGGACTGATTATCATAAAGGCTGTCGTTAACATAACCGCACCCACTCGTATAAATCAACACGATTACCTCTAGAATTAGCATAATTTATACGTATAATTACACAAATTATCATAATTTCGGATTAATTTTGCAAAATTCAAAATTCATTTAAGTTTCATTATTTTCATCAAATTTTCACACACCCACTTATACAACAAGTGGGGGTGTGCGTAGGTGAGTGAGTGGGTGAATGAGTGTGAGGACTGGTAATGTAGCGGTATGCACACTGCACTGCGTAGAAGCGACCTGGCGACACGTGCTGATTGCTCATCAAAGTGTCTTTTCACGTGGAAATGTATAGCAGCCAAATACCCTAAAGGCAGATTTCTAAACGTGGAGGGAAAAAAACCGGAGGAACTGGAGAAAATTAGGATCTTGCACTGAAACTCTGAGACGCAGTCAATAATTTACATTCCGTTGCACTTTTTAAAGTCCTGGTTGTGAAGGCTGCCTTCGCGATTATGAAACAGCTGCAGCCTCCATCCTGCACTTCGTTTTACGTCAACAGTTTAATCCCAATTTGCCCACAGTGAGCGCCCTAAGTAGAATAAGTTACTTTTCATTTGGCTCTCGTTCATCTTAATTCTCACGTAGCAGCCACTTTCCTCAACCAACCGTGAACCCACTGCACCCACGCGTGATGGTCAGCGTCTAAATGAGCGTGAAGGGACTGGAACGTGCTTCGTCCATAGCTTAAAAAGTCGCCCTTTTGCTCTCAAGAAACGCACTGTCACGTTGATGTTGTTGTGTGCAACTCCTGATGAGTGAGACCCTTCGTGTTGTTAGCGATCTTTCACCAAGCACCTCGGTGCCTGTTTCATGACCAGAATGCACGCAGGTCTCCCTTGCCAAAGGGGTCACTCTGCATTAATGCACTCAAGCCTGGGTGAAATAAAGGAGGCCTTCCAAATGGGTAGGATTTGTAGGCAATCTGGAGTCTGTAATGGAGCCTAACGAAGATTGTCATGGCAGAGGGACGTACCGAGAAAAGGCAGAAGCTTAGTTAGGACGCCACCCACTGAGATGACCTTTGCGAGGTTCAGACCATGGGAGACGGGGGCTGGGTAATACTGAGTCTCCTGGGAGACGGAGCTCCTCCTGCACTCACAGCACAGGACACACACAGAGTCTAATGAGGGGCCATGTCTCTCTACACTCACAGCATGATACGCACAGTTTAATGAGGATCCATGTCTCTCTACACACACAGCATGATACACACAGAGTCTAATGAGGGTCCATGTCTCTCTACACAACAACCGCCATTCGCCTCTAAGTGGCAGTGACGTGCACCCTGAAGCCACGTGAAGTGTCGAACGCCCGCTGGCAGGAGGTCACGGGGCAGACCCTGGTGCCACAGGTCGACTGACTGAGATGACTGAGATGACTGGCTGATGCACCACCTGTGTCCCCTACTGTGCCACCTTGCTGTGCTTTAGCCACCTGGCGCTCCACTCGTTGTTGTGAGCGCCGCTCCTCTGCCCTCTGTTGTTGTTGGAGGGCGACTGCCTCCAACTGTCCAATAGCATCCTTCACGAGCCTCCTCCACAGAGGCTGATCTTGACACCGCTGGTACCAGTCATCGGCAAGTCCACTCAGCTCCACTGTTTCCTGTACCACATCACTCCATCTCTTCTCTAGCCCGTGCCGCGCCCGTTTATACCCCTCTATCCGGCTGAACAAAAGCTGTTTAGGCATGCGGTGGCTGGGCATGCGGGCTACAGGACCCAGCCAACGCAGCCTTGCCTGCCGGAGGAGCTCAACGATTAGACTTTGCCCAGATCTTTCAAGGATTTGTGAGCTCCTCACACAATCCAGCCTGGTTAAACCAGGATGGATCGTAGGCAGGCCAGTCTAAATGTTTCTAATCAGCAAAGATGCTTCATTAGGAGGGTCCACGCTTCGCAAGCGTAAAGAAGGGAGGGAATGACCATGGCCGAGAAGATATGAAGCTTCGTTCAGAGCGACAGACCAGGTAGCTTCCACATATCGTTACGCAACCGATGAAAATATATTGCTCCTCGACTGATTCGGAGTGAGACCTCTGCTGTTAAACCGGAGCTGGTCATGAGCACACTGCCCAGGTATGGGAGACTCTCCACTCTCTCCACAACTGCCCCATCACTGATTGGGAGGTGTGGGAGTGGAGTGTCCGATGGTACAAAATACCCAGGCAGGTGCTTAGTTTTGGTGGGGCTGATGGTAAGGCCTCACCTCTGAGTGGCACGCTCCAGTTTCAGCAGCAGCATCTCCAACTCCTCCTCTGAATGAGCAGCAATTACCAAATCATTGGCATACATAACGTGGTTGACCACTCACAGCACAGGACACACAGAGTCTAATGAGGGCCCATGTCTCTCTACAAATGGACCAAACAGGCAACCCTCGACTTGTGAGCACCAGCTCCCATGAAATTAAAAAATAACTTTGACTTAAAATCCAAACTCGCAGTTGCAAACTGAACCGCTGAACTATTTTGTTCAGAGGAGCAATCCTCTGCCATTTGTGATGAGCCAGCCTCGTGCTGGGAGTGTTTGCATGTGTACGAACATTGTGCGTGTGTTAACATTATGTGTGTGTGTGTGGAAGTGTGGGGGGTATAGCTGCTGCATCTACCAGTCATCTCTGTCAGCCAACCCATGGCACCTGGGTCTGTCCCGAGACCTCCTGTCAGCGAGCCTTCGACATTTCACGTGACCTCAAAGTGCACCTGGCCGGGCACAGGCGCCGTGGTAACGTCACCATAACTTAGTGGCGAATGGCCGTTATTGGTATTGGTGTGGGGAGCGGTAGGGTAGCGGTGAGTGCGCTGTGCTACGAAAGCAACGACCCGAGTTCGATTCTTGCTCACGGCCAACACCAGTACCTGGTGTGGGGTGTAAACATCGCCACTGGGGAGACAAAAGCAGCGGGCCGTGATGCTGGCCACCCATCCCCTCGTGTGCCACAGTGGCGGTCATCTTAGGCGCTGCTCGCTGAGAGAACTTGCCCCAAACATCCTGTGAAGGCTACACGGGGGATTGTTGTCGTTGTGGTGTCTTTGTCGATGTGTGTGCATGCGTGCCCCGTTTGTTGTGGTGACTCATTGCCCCCCTTCCGACTACAGGCGAGCATCAATGTAAGTGAAAACAAAGTTTGTTTTCTATTCATGTAAATGTATTTTATGTTTAATTTACTATACAGTATTTTTTTTACATTGTTGGATGCAAATGTACAACATTTCTTCTTTATTATTAGTCTAACAATGCTTCCCTCTTTGTTGAACCCTAACAAATTTTATAACCATGTCAGCATTTAAGTACGGTGCATTATTGTTTTCCGACTTACGAACCGTTCGACTTACGAACGAGTCTCAGGAACAAATTGCGTGTGTAACGTGAGGACTGCCCGTACGGGATATAATTGACCACATGGGATACAACTGCTTACAATTGGGTCTATTAGGAATCACATCACGACCGTTTGCTGATTTGTCCAACAGGTGGCAGACAGAGCTCGAGTTTGAGTCTGGGTTGGTACTGACCTGAGTCTCTCATTTACGGGAGCCTGAAAAACACAAACCCGCATTTCACATTAACATTGACATCATAAACAGATGCCCAAACCTCCACACAGTCGCCTGCTATTTAGAGTGGATTGCGACATCAAGGAATTAACAAATACCTGCACACGGGAGAATGGTGAAAAACAGAGTTATCTGTGTGCCTTTGTACTGTTAAGCCTATTCTTATAAAATGTTGACTTAAATATTTCGTGACTGCAGGTATTCATATGCTTGTGTTTCAAACAAAATTTCGCGAGTTTTTTTTATATTTTTAATATTTTTGATATATATATTTTTATTTTAGTGTTTTATTATTTATGTATGTTTTTATTTTAAGTCTACGTGACTTCACCGAAAGAACCATAGGATATTAATTCCTGCAGTCACGAAAGCTTTAATTCAAAACATAGAATACCTATTATTATTATTTTTTTCAACAATAACAGGATTCCTTTCACTGAATACGGACCCCAACAAATGACACAGCCACTCCTTGCAGGTCTAGTCTAGCAACTAAACAAATGGTTAAGTAATGTTCAACAACTCGTGTTTTAACTCTTGTTCAGTAGCGAGCTGCCTACCACAATGATAGCTCAACGAACTGGCTTATGTGGACATTTATAATTTCAGCCAAATACTCTGAATGCGTGATGTTGTTTCTAAATGGAGTGAAAAACCAGAGGACCTGGAAAAAGTCTACGCGATCACAGAGAGAGGGAGACGTAGACTAAAAATTTACAGCAGGCATTGTCGGGGTCGGGGTCAAACCCACGACCTACTCCATACCAGGCGAGGTAAATAGCGATGTTGTACTGGACAAGTCAAGGTCTGAATGTCACACGGAAGCAAACGCGTTTCTATTTATGGACACCGCTGATTCCTCCCAGATCGTAAAACACTAAAATAAGATTGCCAACAATGTGAATGTCTCACAGGGTGGTGCACCTCTGCTGGTTGGAGATAAACCCTCTGATAAACCAAGGCTGTGAGTATAAACTACTTTTTATACCTTACTAGGTAAGGCCCACTGAGCTATATAGCTCTGCTTCAGAAGTAACCTTGCCACAAATTATAACTAAAAAAGTGGCTTATCGTGTGGAAATTTATAGCAGCAAAATATTCTAAACGCGTGATGTTGATTCTAAATGTGGAGGGAAAAACCTGAGGACTGGGAAAAATCCACGCAAGCACGAGGAGAGAGAGATATGCAAACTCCGAATATACAGCAGCAGACGTCAGGGTTGGTATCGAACCCACGACCTCCTGCATATCAGAAGAGGTAGCTAACATCTCCTAGCCACCCTGGCGAGTGAATGGAGGTGGTGCCACCTGCAGGAAGGAGAGCGGGTCCTGTACAGCGAGGGCGGCGAGCAGCTGGTTGATCTCCTGCTCCAGGCCACGTGCTCTGCTCTCGTAGCGAGCGATGTCCGCCTGGATGCGGGACAGCACGGAGCGGCCCTCCTCGTCCACGCGCTCCAGCGCCTCCCTCTCCTCCTCCGTCAGCTGCTCCCTCCGGCGCTCAAACTCTCGACTGATCCGCTCCTTGGTCCCACGCAGAGACTCCTACACAGTGATACGATGACGCGCTATTGAAACGCAACACGACACAGTGCGATGTGACGTCATGAAGGACTTCGACACGGCCACGTCTAATAAATCCGTACAAAGAGGCGGGCGACTTAATTTTTGAAAACGTCGAGTAATGAAATGCATAAAAGGAGATTTAGTGAGGATATTAATGGGCACTCATGCCAAATGCTAAGTACCCATATAGTTTGGGTGTTTGTCTGTACCTGCACGTGTCTGTGTGTGCTCTCTGTACCTGCACGTGTCTGTGTGTGTTTCGCTGTACCTGCACGTGTCTCTCTGTACCTACACGTGTCTGTGTGTCTCTCTGTACCTGCACGTGTCTGTGTGTCTCTGTACCTGCACGTGTCTTTGTGTCTCTCTGTACCTGCACGTGTCTGTGTGTCTCTCTGTACCTGCACGTGTCTGTGTGTCTCTCTGTAACTGCACGTGTCTGTGTGTGTCTCTGTACCTGCACGTGTCTGTGTCTCTCTCTCTCTCTCGGTACCTGCACCTGTCTGTGTGTCTCTCTCTGTACCTGCACGTGTCTGTGTGTCTCTCTCTGTACCTGCACGTGTCTGTGTGTCTCTCTCTGTACCTGCACGTGTCTGTGTGTCTCTCTGTACCTGCACGTGTCTGTGTGTCTCTGTAACTGCACGTGTCTATGTGTCTCTCTGTACCTGCACGCGCTTGTAGGCACGCTTGAGCTGCTTTGTCCGTGATTCTGCCGTAGTCTTCTTCTCCTCTCTCTCCGTCTTCTCGAGTCTGAACGCCTCCTATACACGGGGTAGACAAATACGCGATGTTTGGTTCTCCCATCATTGTCATCATCTGGCCCATGTCTTTAACCTGGATCCTTGCAGGCCAGTTTCGTGGATCGCCCAGCGATAATCATCGACCTTTTCAATCTTTCAACCTCCCAGGTTTGAGGTGGTCATCCGTGTCTGAGGTGGGTGGCTGGATCACAGCGCGGTGTAATGAGGAGTCCCCACTCCCACGCTCGTGTTTTCTTCAGTTTTCCTAACAATGGAATCTTGCGAAACCGAGAACCATAACCCCCCGATATATCTACAGCACACACTTTGCGTGACAGTGCGGTAAACACCCAAACTTAAATACGAAATATTACAAGAAACCAAGCTGAGTGCCAGAGCTGTATTAGGGTACAGACAGCTCTGGTGCTGATAGGGCTGCTGCTGGGGCGTGTTGGGACAAGTTGGACAGGACTAAGCGGAGGGGAGAGCCATGTGACCAGGTTTGTATCACAGCACGCTAACCACTACACCACTGCTCCCCAAAGCAGAACAACTGCACACTCATGTCACAGCTTAAACATTCCTAGAAATATTCTTAGTTTTTTCGGTAAAGTCACGTTGAAGGGAAACAACAAAATAATAAAATATATATAAAACAATAAAAATTCTCACGACGTTTCGACTAAAACACAAACGGTCGTCTTCAGGTGTGTTGGTTTGCATATTTTTTTTTTAAACGGCGCATTTATTTATTTATTTATAAAAAAAACACACTCAGAATGCTGTAGTCACACTGAGGGATATTTGATTACAGCAGCGATTTAGATCTCACCTGTTTTGTCCGTTGTGCATTTTCCAGTGGAATGACCTCATGCCCTCTATGTTCCCCAGCGATGGTGCAGACTGTGCAGACCAGGCTGTCATCTTGTTCACAGTAGAACTTGATCTGCTCCTGTCTGTGCTGCCGGCAACGTCGCTCCTCCAGGATCGCGATGGGAGCCACCAGGACGTGGCCACTCAACCTGGGATTCTCCAAGTGAGGCCTCGCGTGTCTTGCACAGTAGGACATCTCACATTTCACGCAGGTCCTCACTGCAGGAGTGTGGCCGTCAGTGCAGTTGTCACACACAACGGCCGCGGCCATCCCGTCTCCAACTCTGAGCTGCTCCGCCAGGTTGGCGAGGGCCACGTTCCTCCTCAGCTGGGGTCGCACAGGGAAGGTCGCTCGGCACTGCGGGCAGCTGAAGCTGCTCGCCGTCTCCCAGGTGGTCTCCAGGCACCGCAGGCAGAACGTGTGTCCACAGCTCAGCGTGGAGGGGCAGACGAACGTGCCCAGTCAGATGGAGCAGCGCAGCTCACTATCCACACTCTCACTGGGAGTCGCGCTCGCCATGACCCATGGCTTCGCTTAGGTCGCTCGCTGTGTGACTCAAAGAGACGCTGGACCAGGACCTATCTTTCATAGCGACGGTGAAGAAGGAAGTAAATACTTACAATTTTTCATTGTCGTCAATGACATCACGAGACACCGCCTGGAATGTGAACCCGCGCCCTGAGGTGTGCAAACAGCAGCCTCAAGGTGAACACGGCTACTGTACACACCTTGCCATTTAAAGAAATGAGTGCTGTTGTTAATATAAATCGGTGAGGCTCAGCTGCGGTGGCTCATTCGTGAGATGAGTGTCGAGAGATGAACTTCTACAGCAAGTTGGTGGCAAGATGTTTTCTCCCTCGCCCGGTATACAGGAGGTGGTGGGGTTTGATCCCAATCCTGACGCCTGCTTCATATTTAAAGTTTGCGTCTCTCTCTCCGTGGTCACGTGAATTTTTCTCCGGAAAATTTTACAATCAACATCACGCGTTTAGAGTAGTTGGCTGCAGTACATTACCACGTCATAAGCCATCATTTGTGGCCAGGTCGTTTCAGAAAATAGCCACATTGCTCAGTGAGCGTTGCCTGGTAAAATAAAATAAAATGTTAGCATAGTTGTAGATATCTCATGATGTCCTGTAACTCCATCTAAGTGTAATTACCCCAATGTGACAAGTTGCTTGAATGTCCTAGTGGCATCTGAGATGGAATTTGCCTGTAGCCTCCCGTGACAGATCCTGGGATCTTGAGCCTTTTGCTAGCAGTGTGAATCTATCACCAACTCTACCTGCCTCCATCAACCACTGCTGGCGATGTCACCGTCTCTCACTCTCACCTTGTCCGAGACTGCAGATCCCCGTGCCGGCCATTCACAGCCGCACCCACCGCTTACTTTAGGTGCGTTGTTGTTTCACATTCACACGCACGGCTACTCAACGCGCATGCACACGCAGCAACACAAATGCCCATCGGTGTTCACCATAATTGTAAACAAATTTAAAAGAAATTAAACTAAACTATTTTAAAGTTACCAGGTGTAATGCCCCACTGAGCTATTGAAATATTATTTTTCAGAAGCGACCTGCCCATCACAAATGACAGCTCAACAAAGTGGCTCGTCATGTCGTAAATGCATAGCAGCAAATAATCTAAATACTGAACTCTAAACGCTGCTTGAACCCAGAGACGCTCTCTTGGGCTCTGCGGGTTGTTCACAGCAGATAACGAATGCCTTAGACTCTACACCCAAGTCGGACTTGTGGGAATACCCGACCTGCACGAAATTGAACATACGGCCTGGACTAACGGATAAATAAGCGACACTGCGTTTGAAAGCTTCCTTCTACAAGGTCACCAATGAGAGCGAAGGGGGTCCCCACGATGTCCACGGCTCATTCCTTGGTGCAGCAGCAGCGACGGCTCAGTGCTCAATGAGGCGCAGTGGCTCCAGGCCAAGCAAGCAGCGTGATCCGCCGCCGGTTTTGCAGCCAACAAATCCTCGCAGCGTCCGGGGAGAGCCGTCTAGGTGGCAGCTCAGCACTCCTCGGGTGCCAAACAGCCCACACCCGGCTACGCATCCAGTTACACTCACACACTCACTCACTTACACACTCACACACTCACTTACACACTCACTCACATACCTACACACTCACACACTCACTCACTTACACACACACTCACACACTCACTCACTTACACACACACTCACTCACACTCACACACTCACTCACTCACCCTCACACACTCACTCACACAATTACACTCTCACACTCACACCCTCACTCACTCACACACTCATCAATAACAACAACCGCCATTCGCCATTAAGTGGCGGTGACGTCACCACGACGCTTGTGCCAGGCCATGTGCACACACTCACTAACATACTCACACAATCACTCACACACTCGCACACGGGCCTACGGTCTCTCTCTCTCTTTCTCACTCACCGCTTGTATAAAGCCATCTATGTCCCGTCTGTATACTCCCGTACATGAATATGTGCATCTCTCGTCTGTGTCTCTAGTCTGCATGTCTCTATAAAAAGTCCTCTGTGTTGTGTAAATGCCGTTTCCAAAAAAATATATTAAGAGTGATATTGCCTATTTTATCGTAACAGTTTTTTTTTCTCTGCACATGTCTGGATTTAAATCGTTCTAAAAGAATAAAAATGCATAATATGAATTACGCAAAATTTCCGCGACCATAATAACATGTATTAATAACAAATATTCCAGTTGTATAACCGCCTGCTCAACCGCCTTTGTCTTCCCAGTGGCTGTCATTGCTGCAGCAGGAATTCGTATTAAGGATGAGTCGACCGAAAGAGGGGGGAAGGCCGTTCCACAATAAACAAGGCTACAGACACACACCACACCAGGGCAGCAGTGGAGAGAGCACGGCACTCTCCCTCAGGGCAGCAGCGATGAGAGTGCGGCTCTCCCCCAGGCCAAAAGTGGAAAGAGCGCGGCTCTCCCTCAGGGCAGCAGTGGAGAGAGCGCGGCTCTCCCTCAGGGCAGCAGTGGAGAGAGCGCGTCTGGCTCCCTCAGGGCAGCAATGGACAGAACACGGCTCTGCCTCAGGGCAGCAATGGACAGAACACGGCTCTGCCCCAGGGCAGCAGTGGAGAGAGCACAGCTCTGCCTCACTCTCACTCAGCCGTCTCCTAACTGTTACTCACCCGTTTCTTGCTCACGGTCACGTGACGCACTTCAACCAATCCGTGCCGCGTTAATCACAGTCACAGAATGACAGAATGACAGAGCTGAGTGTTTATATACAAATTTATACTTGTGTTTTGTTGGCATTCAGTACGGATTGATGTGTCGGTATATTTGCGTGGGTGCTGTCGTTGCTATTAATTCCTGCTGATCAGAGTTCTGGATAATTGAGTAAGTTGATGTTAAATTTGCTTAGATTATAAACAAGTTTCAGCGTGCTTCTTTCCTTTCTCATGCATTACTGTCGTGATGAGGAACTGTCTTCTGCGGTGAGATCTGAATCCCGAGACCTGACGTCATTACACACGTCATTGTTAAAGCGAGAATCATAAATGTTAAAGCGATCATAATATCAGAGAGAGAATCATTGATAATATCACGATCGGTGAAACATACCCCAATGCTAATAATGTAATCGCACCACAAAATAACTGCACACGCAAACACATAACCACTAACACATAATCACACCCACATACCCCTCAACAACGAGAGAGCCAATAATTCTTGCACTACATAATAATAATGACACACACAAAATCATACGTGAATACCCCTACACAATGATATCACACAAAAGCATAGTCACACGTACATGCCCCTAGACAACACATAATAACATATACACATTAATCAGGTTAAGAACCACTGTCTACAGGGACCGATCTCCGCTCATAAACCACGAGACCCCTGAGGACTACGGATCGCCTCCTTCTGAAGACTCCGAGGTCAAGGCTCTGTTGGTGTGGTGATGGGGTGGATGGGTGGGTGAGTGGGTGGGTGAGTGGGTGGGTGCGTGGGTGAGTGGGTGGGTGAGTGAGTGGGTGAGTGGGTGGGTGCGTGCGTGGGTGAGTGGGTGGGTGAGTGGGTGGGTGAGTGGGTCGGTGCGTGGGTGAGTGAGTGGGTGAGTGGGTGGGTGAGTGGGTGAGTGAGTGGGTGAGTGGGTGGGTGAGTGGGTGGGTGAGTGGGTCGGTGCGTGGGTGAGTGAGTGGGTGAGTGGGTCGGTGCGTGGGTGAGTGAGTGGGTGAGTGGGTGGGTGAGTGGGTGGGTGGGTGGGTGAGTGGGTGGGTGAGTGGGTGGGTGAGTGGGTCGGTGCGTGGGTGAGTGAGTGGGTGAGTGGGTCGGTGCGTGGGTGAGTGAGTGGGTGAGTGGGTGGGTGAGTGGGTGGGTGGGTGGGTGAGTGGGTGGGTGAGTGGGTGGGTGAGTGGGTCGGTGCGTGGGTGAGTGAGTGGGTGAGTGGGTCGGTGCGTGGCTGGGTGAGTGGGTCGGTGCCTGGGTTAGTGGGTGAGTGAGTGGAGGTGGGTGAGTGAGTGACTGAGTGGATAAATCCCCCTTTACCCTCCCCCCCCCTGCCAAGCCCTGCCCGTCTACCCTGCAGGCTCTGTCTATTTTCTGCTTTCCATACGCGGGGTGCACTGGTGGCGGGACCCTACGGATGCAATTCCCAACTCTCGAAGTGTAAATTATTGTTGTAGTTATTGTAATTTGCACACGTTGAGTAGTAAGTAGTCTCCCTATAATGTACAAAAGCGTCTTTTACAGCAGGAAAAAAATAATGTATATTCTAAATAAATAGCAAGAGAAAATATTTCAGCTTCTTGTTTGGAGTTTCATTTTGACACTTGCGTGACGAAACTTCTGCTTTTTAAACACAAACAACGCTGTAACATTTAAATATTTATTTATTATCTTTGTTTGTTTCTTCTTCTAACGTCGTTCCAAAAGGACTCCCCAAAACCTTCCTCCCAGGTTGACCACTCAGCAATTGTTATTCCAGACAAGTTGCCAATAACAACACTAATACGTGGTCATCTTCTTTGGTTCTTTCGGTAAAGTCATGTAGAATGAGAATAAAACAATAAATTGATAAAATAAAATAACACAATAATATTCTCACAACGTTTCGGCCACAACACAAGCGGCCTTCATCAGGTGAAGGGGCGAGACTGTCTGGTAGGACAGCGCTGGAGTGAAAGAGCCACGTTCAGATTACGGGGATTGTTTGTATTTGCTTGCAGTTACTGGCGAGTTAGGACACCTCACAAAATGGACAATTGGTTCAAATATTGACGTTCATTCTTCACGCATTTATTTCCCAGAACCACGTTGGGTCAGGCAAGGGCGGTACTCGGTTTGAACAAAATGCAACAAAGGGGGCACAGCAGTGGCCAACAAAGATTGAGAACCACTGCTGTCAACATTGCGTGGACCATCCCATTGCGTGCCTGGCACAAGAGTGATCCAGATGTCTGGTGACCCCGCCCCCACCCCTAATTATTTGACCCCTAACACTTTTTTTCCTTTGCATGTTAATTCCTATTTAAAATAAGCCTTACTTTAAAATATACATAAAATTTTAGAGAATTAAATGGGGGAGAGGGAGGAGGATGGGGTCATAATACATCTGGACCACCCCTGTAATGTTAAACTTCGGCACTTGTAAGACGACTGGAGTGGTGTTGTGTCACGTGATGGAGGTGTGGAAGTTGCCCGTTTAAACAACAGCTTTAAACATCGCACAGAGCACCCAGCATGCCCAAGGCACAAACTGTAAGTAACAACAATGTTTATTCTACCATGTAAGGCTCCACTGAGCTATGGAGCTCTTGTTTTCAGAAACGACCTGGACACCACAAATGATAGCTCAAAGAAGTCA